GATTCATTTCTCTACAACAAGTGAACACAGATCTTCTAACAAAAGCCGAAGTCCTGAACGCCATAAAGCTATTGAAATCCGGGAAAGCAGAAGGACCAGATGGAATCCCACCAGAAGCACTGAGAACAGACGCAAGGACAAAAGCGGACATGTTCACACTACTACTACAGAAGGTGTGGAAAGAAGGAAAGATACCTGCAGATTGGAAGAAGGGCTACCTTGTCAAACTCCCGAACAAGGGCGACCTAAGTCTATGCAAGAACTGGCGAGGAATCACACTCCTGTCCACCAGAAGCAAGCAAAATATTATGCTATATCATCCTGGAGAGACTGAAGGATGCGCTGAATTCAAAATTACAACCGGAACAGGCTGGATTCAGGAAGTACAAATCATGTGCGGACCAAATTGCAACACTAAACATCATCATAAAACAGAGTATAGAATGTCAGTCAACTCTTTAACTCAACTTCATCAACTTTCAGAAGGCGTTTGACAACCTCAACCGAGAAGTAATTTGGCAGGTAGCTTCTTTAACACCACGGAATACCACAAACATTTATCAATCTCATTCAACAACTATTTGAAGACGCCACATGCCAAGTAATTCACAACGGGAAGCTCAGTGATGCCTTTGAAGTGAAGACAGGAGTAAAACAAGGCTGCCTGCCGTCACCCATGATCTTCCTCATTGTGCTCGACAGGACTGGATCATGCAGCAAACAGTGAGGAACGAGAAGAGGGGGATACGTTGGACCAGGAAAAAGATCCTAGAAGATTTGGATTTCGCCGACGACTTGTGTCTAGTGTTGCAGCACCGTTTCAACTATAGGCGGCACAGACGAGGACATCAAAGCCAGGATCGGAAAAGCAAGACTGGCGTTCACTAACCTGAAACCAGTGTGAAGATCTTTTGCACTCAGCATAAAGCGTGAACAACATCCGGGTTTTCAAAACCAATTCAGTCAAGTCAGTGCTTCTATGTGATGGCTGAGAGACTTGGAGTATTACAAAGGCGTTTCCAACAAACTACAGATATACATCATCAACAACTGCCACCTACGCTGGCTCACTACTGAAGATCAGATGGCCAGAATAACAGGAATAAGCAACAAGGAATTCTGGCAACGAACCAACCAACAACCTATCGCTGAAAAAATATGCACTGGAAGGAAATGGAAATGGATTGAGCATACACTGAGTAGATCATTCGGGAACATCATGCACCAGGTCAGGCCGGGGCCTCGAGTGGAACCCAGATGAGAAATGACGAGTTGGGCGTCCTGAGGTGAGGGTGACATGAAGGAAACCGTGTGAGGAAGAAATGAAAACTTCTGGCCTGTCCTGGAGCCAGGTTCAAAAGATTGCAGAGAACAGAGTGGAATGGAGACGTGCAACTGAAGCCCTATGCTCCACTAGGAACCCAAGGGACAAATAATAATATAAATGTGTGTTATGATTATGAAGGAATAAATTACATATTGCGTACAAGTGCCAATGATCATGTGGTTACTTTTACTGTAGAATAGCTTCCCAGTTGTCCTACGATGATACCAATAAAGTTTCCTTCAAAAACGTCACCTACTAATAAAGTTACGACACTTTAGGATATAAACAGATAGATACCATTCTAAGTGATATGTAGATTAGGTTAACCTACGGTACCTCTTAGAAAACAATGAAATAGCTTCCCATCATCTGAACACAAAAAATATCAGAGAATTTCCAGAAACTCGGCATTTATGTCAGTTAGTCAGCAATCAAAAGATGTATGGACAGACCCAATCTATCAACCAATGAAGAAAATGATAAACGACAGAAAGGTCAAAGGTCAAGCAGAAGAACAATCAACAGGAAAATCTATACAGCCAGTGCCACAGCAAGCAAAGGAAACAACCAATCACAAACCAGTTGGTTAGGGAAGCTACTAAATCTTTGACGGAGAGATATTGACATCTCATTTCATACTGAAGTTGGTGCTGATGATATAGTCTAGGAGAAAGACGATGAAAGCTTCACGATTAAACAACGCAGTGAGACAACACAATACAACTAAGATCATCTACCTGAGCTACAAATATTCTCCAATATTTCCAAATCATACGAGCGCAACACGCTTTACATTGTTCGGAGATGCCAGGACTTCTCCAAAAGGTAAACAACTTAAAGTTCAGGTTATATGAATACAATACACTAGCTAGAATAAGAGATATGAAATTGTTTAAATCAACCAATGGTAACGTTTTCAATACAATGTCGTTTCAAAAATGAATGGTTTCGGTTAAATATAATTATACCTCAGTTATTCCTATAATTGTGGCAATTTCCTAATATTGTGAAGTGAAGGTTGTTCATTCTATAAAGTAAAACGATTACTGCGTGATAAAATGACTAATCAATTAGTACTAATTAATTAAACTGATAAGCAGAGTCTTACAATATGTAACCGAATTCTAAGTTATCATTTTCAAGATTATGAATAAAAATTTAGCTGCAAAAGTATTTTTTGATAACTAGAAGTTGTAAATATTAAAACAAGAAGTACTTTGAGCAAAACAAAAGCGAATAGAACCGATTTCTTTTTGTAAAATGGGTTTAACATACCGAATCAATGTCATCCGAAGAATGATAGGAGGCTTAAAGTTGATGGATAGCAATTTTCTACTAGTTTGAGATTTCTCAGTACTGTGAGAGGGAATCCAACGCAGTCAGATCTTACAGTGAGCATATCATTACTCGGTCACTAGAATAGAATCCATTGTAACACTTTTTTTCCAATTTGGCATATTTAAAAATTTTGAAAACAAAGTATTCGATCTTCGAAAAGAATATGATGAATGTTACAGTCAGCTACCTTATGATGAATGCTTCAAATCACACCTTTGTGTAGACTTAAGAATTGTGTAACAGGGTCATAAAACACAGCTATCAGCTCAAATTAAACAGGCCTAATTGAAATATGGGAAAATGTGTGTATCGAATAGTCTTCCGAGAAATTGGATGTCTTTAACAAACTTCTTTTCTTTCAGTTTGTTTTAATCTTTTAAATATGTCTTCCAAGTGTATCATGTAATGTCGCACTTTTTTAAAATGACGTTTTTCTAAGCTAAGAATGAAACAAAGAAAAGACTTTAGAAAAAGATAGAAATGGAGATGTGTGTGTTCAAAAATACAACAGAGTACTATTCCTAGGATAACTGTATTGAATTCGCAGATTTTTGTACTGGCTGGTTGAACTACTACCACCACCAAAATTACATTCAATTTTGTATTCATTCCTGAGCCCAGACCAGATGGTAATGTAACACCAGCCACCCATTTCACATTAGTGCCTTTAATACGGTTATTATTTACACTATTCAAAAGAAACAATTAGTTTCTTCTAAAAATATTGTACAGGGAGCGTATCTGTTGAAACATTACCTGCTGAAAATTCCATAATATTTATTGTTTGGAACAAAGCGATTATTATTATTATGCACATTCAGACTGACGTTTTTAATAATGTTTTGAAAGAAGTTGAGTATCAAGTCTAATTCAATCATTATAAGAGGAAATCTTATATTAGTACGATAACGACAACTTTAAAAGATTGAAACAAGATATTTCTCAACGTTTTGCTGTTTAAGCTCCGGCTTCTTCAACAGAATATCTGGATTTTTATTAACATTAAAATATATAATCAAACAATACGTCAATTATTTCGGTTGCATGTAGGTAAATGGGTTGGTTGGTTGGTTTGTTGTCCAGACTTAGTAATTATGGTTAGTCACTTGTCAACGAAAAAGTGTAGGATAGTAAAAGTGTGTGTATAAGTGCCTATGTATGCCATAGAATTGGTCGTGGTTCCTATGCATTCTTTATGGAGAGTTAGTAATTGTCACTAATTAAAGCTTTAATTACGAAAACGTTATCATTAATGATTTTGTCAGGAGTAATGTTTGCCAAATAGGTAAGAAGTCTATTCCATCAGACATTAGAGGTTAATCTTTCTTTAAGAGAATGGAAACCCTTTCCAAAGATGTCTACACTATCGAAATCAATCATATATCCACTTTCGATATAACCGAAATATTTAATGCGCTATTTAACTGTATATTTTGATGTTAATAAAAATCAGTATATCCTCGTGAAAAAGCTCTAAATTACACAGCAAAACGTTCAGAAATAACTTGATTCAATTTTCTAAACACAATGAGTAATTCAGTTCATCGAATCTAACGGTGAGTAGTAAACGGTATATTATTCACTTTAAACTAGATATTCAATAGTCTGAAATGATAGTAACCGTTTGTTCCGCCAACAGAGTAATTGAGTAACAACTATTTGGGGGAATTGAACATCAACATTGCTACCGGAGTAACTATTAACTGATGAGCATTCTTTACTGGAAAGTATAAAAACTGAACATGTACATCATTCTCCAGAAACACTGTTATTACTTCAGCTTCAAGAGAAGTAGCCATAGAAGACATTGATCATTTTTATACGTCACAACAATCATCTCTTCTATGAAGCAAAGTTGATGGCTTTTAGTTATACAATAGACTAAAGAAATTATAACTCATTGCTACTTGTAATTTCCCTTTATTTCTTTGGGTATTATGTCTCCTTGGCCTAGTGTAGAACACTTTAGTGTTTGAAATGATGGGTGATGGGGTCGAGTTTCAGTGGGAAAGTAGGTCCATTCAGCTGAAGAGTCCAAAAGGAGACGAAATACGTATTATGGATTTGCTGGCTAGCCAACATCATGCAAATTACGGACTAAAGTGAGATTTATCAAAAATACTCTCACCTACTTCATCAACTTAGCACAGTATGTCTACACAAGTCATATCTAGGAATTTGAAGTGAAAAATATCCAGAAATAGGGACTTAGACAAAACACTGAAATTACAATTTCTTTCCAATATCCAAGGAATTCAAAGTTTTATACCTAAGAGTTAACTAGTTTTATAAATGTGTTCAATTGAACCCATTGAACAGGTTAAATTTGACTTACATCCCACTCAATGTTAAAACCAGCATTTAATAAAGCGCTAAAAGTTGATTTCCATTCATTTTGAAATTGTTCACTTTGTTTTTCATCAAATGTTGTCTTCCATTTTTCAAGTTTTTTAATAATTAATAATTTTCCTTCCATTTTATCAAGATAATATAAAGTTTTCTGAAAAAATTCTTTCTTTTTTCGAATTAAATTCACACAATCGTATAGAATAATTTTATTAAACATTTTTAAATTATATGGACAATGAATTATTGGTTTATTATTTATTAAAAGTTTTGGTATATTATTTATAGATTCACTGTTATGCATAGAATTAATATGTGTTGCTCGTTGTTCAATAAAACAAATTGAATCAGTTTCATTTAATTCCCCATAAAAATGGATAATTTCAATCATCTCTTTAGTGTATACTTCATTCGATTGCATTATAATGTAGAAAATTACTCTTTAGGAAGTTTATTTGAATTAAATGATAGGTATCTTAAATGTTGAATACTCCTTAAGCTAATTTATTTGCTCAGTCAACCCATCCATTGATTATTTATAGTTCAACAATACAAACCAATATAAATACACTCATATGATTGATTATTTGGAACTACACTTTATAGTACACTCATTAAAGGACCAATTATTTGCCTTCTTTAAAGTTATTTCTTTTTCGATAATATTATCATATCTTTTCTTTTTATTGTGACATTAAATCTCGCCTAATTTACAAGTTTACTAGCCTGCCCTAAGCCGGATAAAAACGAAGGTTTGGGCATAGGGCTAGAAACACTGCCCCGTAAAATCAATCCAATAGCTAACTGAACTTCAAATCACAAAGAAAATGCAAAACATAAAAATAAACTTATTCCTGTCTGCAATCGGGGAGATGAAATGATGCCAGTTGGTGATAGCCTTTGGTAAGGCAGTTGACCGATGTGTTTTCTCTCCTCTCGATGAAACTGAAACTAAACATAGGGACATGGAATCTTCACACAATGTTTGAAGCTTGCTGAGTGGCAAGGCTGCCCAGATTCCCAAAGAGATGAGAAGGTACAGCATAAAACTGCTAGAAACCTGAGAAAGCAGGTGGAATGGAAGCAGACTGTCCCAACTGTCAACTACAGACTCAGTAATCTACTCCGATATTGTCACTCAAACGACAACCATGAGCACATTTAGTTTTCGAGTGGCTATCGTGATGTACCCAACACCATAGAAAGCTGTCATGCAGTGGGAACCAATCTCCTCCTATACAGTCAGGATCATTACAGCAAGATTCATATCAAAAGAAAAGAAAGTTACAATCATACAATGCTATGCTACGCACCAACAAATGATGGAGACCATGAGAAGAAAGAGGAATTCTATAGACAAATACAATCAGTAATGCGCAAGACCTGAGTTAGCGACATCAAAAACCTAATGAGTGACACGAATGCCAAACTGGGAGCAGATAACACACGAAGAGGACTCATCATGGTCCAAGAGGCACCCTGACCTTTATCAATATCATTCAACAGCTATATGCTATATGACGATGTGATATGCCAAGTGATTCACAATGGAAAGCTCAGTGATGCCTTTGAAGTAAAGAGAGGAGTAGGACAAGACAAGTTTGCCTACCATCATCGATAATCTTCGTGATTTTGGTCGACTGGACTGAACTGGATCATGTAAGAATCTGTGGGGAGCGAGAGGCTGAGAACACACTGTTTGACCGATGATAGACCCTAGGAGAAGATTTGGATTCCGTCCATGATGATTTATGTGTGATGTCATGCACAAACTCGAAGATGTATGGGTGGAAAGGAACAAGTTGGCAGAAGAGGCAGGACAGCCAAGGAAGACGGGATATCCTTGAGGTGAACGTAGAGAAGACAGAGTTGATGAAGTTAGCCAACCAACACCACCAATACCACCACCACCAACAACAAGAGGCAGTGATCTCCATGAGGGGGAGAAATCTAAACGAAGTAGTCTCTTTCATCTACCTACCTACCTACCAACCAAAGCAGCATCGTTTCAACTACAGGAGGCAGCACAGGCACAGATCACGATGTCAAATCCAGCCAGGATCGCAAAGGCAACAAGACAGGCCCTCTTTCATTGATCTGAAATAATTAGTGTGGAGATCTACTGTACTGCATTGTACTGAACTCAGCATGAAGCGTGAACAATATCTGGATTTTCAACACTACTGATGTCAGTCAAGTTAGTGCTTCCATGTGATGGTTGGGAAACTTGGCGCATCATGTAAAGCATTTACAACAAACTGCAGATATCAAGCATCAACAGCTGTTGCCTACACCCACTTGGTACTGAAGATCAGATGAGACGGGGAGAAAGAATGAGGAGATAGGAACTCTGGCCCGGCAACGAACCAACCAACAACCTACCACCCAACGAATATGCAGAAATTGGAGATGGAGTGGATTGGGCATAGACTGAGAAGACGGTTTGGGGACATCAGGCGCCACGCCACCATGGAGTAGAAGCTAAATTGGAAAGGATGAGTTGGTCGTTGGAGGGTGACATGGAGATGGTGTGGAGAAGAGATGAAATCTTCTGGGCAGTCGTGGAGCCAGGTTGAAAATACTGGAGAGAAGAGAGTGGGATGGTGATGTGCTACTGAAGCCATGTTCCACTAGGAATCGAAAAGACAAATAATAAAAATGATAATAAATTGCAACATCAACTATTTCAAGACACTTGACTGAAAAGAGCCCATTGTTCACTAAGGAACATTCTCTCCATCACCTCTCTCCGCCCAATCTTTACACCCCAGCTGTTTTTTCTGTCGATGGGACCTCTGTAAAGTACGAACTATTCTAAAAGACAGTCAAAAGTTTATTTGTAGTATCAACATGGCCTGAAGTTAGGATTTGACAGATATTTGCAGCTTCCTATATAATTAGTTCAGTATATAAATTTTGAGTGAAGTAAATAATCTCCATTCACTATTTGAGAAACAAATTTCTGTAATAATTTTAATGAATATTTGTAGTTTAGGGTGTGAATGTTCAAACTGAACTGTTCCCTAGTATAGGGTTTCAGTTTGCGGACATTTCAATCTCAAGCTAGACATTCCCATCAATGGGGGCATCATAGCTTCACAAGGAAGGGATAGGACTGCTTTTTACTAGATATTTACAACCTGCAGCCTTGTCTGACAGTAATCTGGTTGGTCGCTCGGTCAGTGTGTGGATGTGTGTCGAACCTGATCGGTTGACTCCTTGCCTTTCGTTTTCTCCGCAGGGTGTATAGTCATGCGATTTGGTCGATTTCCTCTGTGCATTAATGCTGTTTCGTTTTGATTGGCTGTCCCCTTTTGTTCAAATGAATTTATGAAGGTCGCGTTGTTCAGACTAGGTGACCCATTTATATTGGCTGGGCGATGCGTTGTGCCGTTTAATCTGTTCACTAAAACTAGATGCGGTGTTTTTTGCTACTGATACGCCATTGCATTCTACTGGAGGGAGGGATTCCTTTTGTATCGCCTAGTTAAGTACAAAGGTGTAGTTAGTTGCTAATGAGTCGTCCTAATCCATATGATTGATGAATCCGTTTGTCTTTGCATGGATGGTTTCCTTGCATTTGGATAGGTTGGTTCCTGTAATTGATTTGTTTCGTATATTGAGTTCGTGTCTATGTTCAAATTCGTTGCTCCCTTGCTTGGGCGCTGGGCCTTCAAGAATTCTGGAACCGCTTTCGAGTTTGCACGTTCTAGTATTTCAAAGTCATTCCAGTCGAATTCGTTGTTTTCATAGCTACCGTGTACTGAGCTGAAAGATATCACATTATAACGGACGACAGGGAGCCTGTGTTAATATAATACTGGTTTCCCTGTTTCATATAGTTACTACAAGGATATAACACCCTGGATATCTCACGTAGTAGTGTTCGAAATTACTGGAGCTGACTTAGTAGACAAAATTTGTCGTTTCTTCTTCGTTGACTGTGACTTTTCGTTTGTATAGGATATGCTCTAATGATTTTGTCGGATTATGTTACACTGCGATTCCAAGTGGATTCAGTAATCTGGCTGTTGTTTCTGAGGCATTCTTGACGCAAACAAGGATAATTCTTCTGTTAGTTTTCACAGTAGACTTTCACTTTGTTCATTTGGAAAGACAACTCAATATGAAATTCTTCGGATAGCCATTCTGTTGAAAGATCTCGAACAAACGTTTTATCTCAAATCTCTTTGATTCCATTGTAATACAGTGTGTGTCTGCTAGTCTAAATAGCGTTTTAACGCAGATTTTCTCGTGTGATGTCAGATTACTCCTGTTGTAATTGAAGATCTACTTAATTACCTTGTTGATAATTACTTCTTTGAAAAGTTTTCCTAATCAATACCCTATTTTATTGTCTAACACTTTGACTGGGTTGGATTCTACTTTTCTGTAAGTTGTCCTTTTTTCGAGCTGCTCTGTTGCTCTTATGATATATTCCGTTATGTTTAGTAACACTGTTGTCCGTCATTTGTCTCCTGGCAGAATCACAACTTCTCCTTCTTTGCCAGATTTAAATGCATTTTTCTCCTTGTGACCTAAGTTGCCATTCTGCGGTTCGCATTTTATCATCTGACAATTTACTTGTTGTCCATCATGTATGAGATTCGTGTTCTCCAGGGACAGTTTGAGAGCCGGGAAAATTTTTAGATAATTTTCATTGCTTGTGGCTAACTAAACTGTAATCAACCAGCCGATGCTAAAGGAATCCTTCCCTCTAGAGAAATCTAATAAACCAGAAGTAGCAAATAATATACCTGCAATTGAAGCGTATAGACCAATCAGCGTAATGTGTCTGTCCTTTAATATAAAGGAGTCAACCAGTCAGAATAAGGTGACCTTCAAAACATTAAGTTCCATTTATGAACTTCGACAAAACAATAAGAAGACATAAATTGTCTGAACCGTGTTATGTATTTCCGCAACACATTTCGAACTATCTGATCACACATACATGTACATGTCATAGGCACTTATATGGAAATTCATCAAGATAAGACAGTGAAAAAATGAGAATTGGTCGCAGCATTAAACCTACCTTGGTAAATTCAACTGTGAAAACCAAGTTCCATGTACCATTGTTTTCGCTCTACTGATTTTCATTGTTATTCTGCCTCTAGTTCAGCCAACCTACTTGACCACTTTTCATTTTCTTACTGCCTTATCCTGACGAATTTCCATATAAATACCCATGATAAGTACATGTATGTGTGATCAGATAGTTCGAAATGTGTTGCGGAAATACATTACACGGTTCAGACAATTTACATTTCGTCAAGGTGACCTTTACAGATTCATTCAAACAAAGGAGGCCAGCCAATTGGAAGGGAGTTGCGTCAACGTACTTCAAGGAATCAGAAGAAATCAACAAATCAAGTAGCTGCACACTCTTCTGGGACAGCCAGAGGCCAGTGGTTAGCCGATCAAGCTTGGCAGACATCCAGGTACTTACCAAGATACCAATCATGTTACACTCATGCAAAGTAGTACTTTATAAATATACCAGCACAGCTGTTGATTTC